CCATGCCCCCTGCCCCCTTTTCCTGCCCATGGCCCGTGCCCCCTGCCCTCTCCCCACCCTGCCCACAGCCTGTGCCCCCTGCCCCTCTGCCCAGGGCCATGCCCCCTCACCCTGCTCACAGCCCATGCCCTCTGCCCTTTCCCCGCCCCATGCTCGTGCCCAGTGACCCCAACCTGGGCCCAGGCCCTCTGCCTCCTACTGACCCTACCCAGGGACAGTGCCCTCTGCTCTCCCCAGTGCTTGGCAAGCAGCCCTTCCGCCGGGCGTCGTGCGGTGCTGGGAGGGCAGCAGTTCCGGTGTGTCTCCGCCCGGTGTGGGGCCCGGCATCTGGCCTCCTGCTAAACCCGGGGGTCCTCAGGGCTAGGGGGCTGTTCATGGGTGGGGAGGGGGCAGACTTGGCCCCACTGAGAGAAGGAATGGGGAGAGGTGAGATTGGCCCCATGGTTCCCGCCGAGGGATGAGGAGCAGGGTCTGTCTCACAGTCCTGTCCCCCCTCACGAATCTGTGCCTGCTCGGCCGCCCCACCCCCGTGAGATCCCAGCGCTAGGGCCTGCTCCTGCAGGGTCCCTGGGGGCGCCCCTCGCCCAGCCCTGGGGGCCGCCCGTCCTCCCTCCCGCCGCGTTCACCCTGCCATCCCGTGTGCCGCTCCAGGGCTTCAACCCGAAGGTCCGGTACAGCCTGACGCCCCAGTCCAACCACACCCAGCTCTTCCAGATCACGCCGAGCGGGCTCCTCGTGGCCCGAGCCGACCGGCTCCGTGCCCTCCAGCAGTACTTCCTGCAGGTAAGAGCGGAGCCGCCATGGCCCCAGGCTGCACCTGCCCTTCCTGGGCTCTCCGGGAGCCAACACACCGTCCCAGACGCCTCTGCTTGGGGAGGGGGCCCCGTCCTGCCAGCAGATCCTCCACTGGCCCGGCAGCCGGGAGCCTTGGGGCGCGGGGCCTGGAGACTTCTCTGCCTTCTCCAGACTGGCTCCGGCCAAGGCTGTGTCTGCAGGGCTCTTTGGGGGCCTGCAGGGCCCACTGGCTCCTTGCTCTGCCTGGGCGATGTGAGGCTGCTGTTGAGGCCCTGAGCTGCTTGTGACATCACTGTCCTTGCTGCGGCGAGTGGGCGTGACGTCACAAGTGGTAACTGCAGGCAGAGAGCTCCAGAGCGAAACCAGGTCCTGGGGGCTCTGCCTGAGGACGGGCTGCAGAATGCGTCCCAGGGACCGTTCCCCCGTGACGCTCCCCAAGCCCCGTGCCAGCGCGCGGCTTTGTTACGGAATCAGAGAACGGTGGGCTGGAAGGGACCCCCTGCGCTGAGACAGGGTCAAGTCAGCCTAGACCAGCCCTGACAGGTGTTTGTCCAACCTGTTCTTGAAATCCTCAAGTGATGGGGATTCCACAACCTCCCTCGGATGCTGATTCCCTACCCTTCCAGGAAGGAAGAGTTTCCTAATATTGAACCTAAATCTCCCTTGCTGCAGATTAAGCCCATGACTGCTTGTCTTACCTTTAGTGGACATAGAGAACACCTGATCCCCATCCTCTTTATAATGCCCCAACTCCTGGGGGAATTCTGCACTGAAAAGTTTAAAATTCTGCGCCAAAAAGTTTAAAATTCTGCGCCAAAAAGTTTAAAATTCTGCAAAATTCTGCATATTTTA